CCCGGGTTACATGGATCCGACTTACATCGGATCCCTACTTACAACCGGGGTGAGGCACCCCCGCACTAGCTACTTCCCCCCAGCAGACTAGGGAGATGCGAAGCTAGCGCGTCCCCCTCCCCCCGCCCAGCAGACCAGGGAGAGGTGGAGCGGCTTTTCTCAGCAGACACCTCAGTTTGAGATTAAAGGACTGAGGGAAGTGAGGTGTGGGAGAATAAAACTGAGCTCTGGAGAAATGTTTGGCTAGAGTTTCCCCTACAATATGTACCAGTTCCGACTTACATACAAATTCAACTTAAGAACAAACCTACAGTCCCTATCTTGTACGTAACCCGGGGACTGCCTGTAGTATGTGTGCTTGTGTCACATATCCCTCTTTCCAATAAGAAGAGACTGGAGTCTGAGAAGCAATGATTTGTCCTATTGTGGTTACCTAGAAAATACAGTTCTTGTTCTTAACAATTCCAGTTGTTTCCTATCCTGTAATGTGTGGACTGAAAAACTGAGATAACAATCAGTTTTCACATTTGTATGTGTACCAGTGAGATGGTAGTAAGGACGTAGGTGATTTATTCTACTAAATAATTTGTTTGGTTCTACTAAATGGTTTAAAGTAAGAACACAAGTTCAAGTGCTTGTTCATACGCATTCCAATTAGGTGTTTGCGCATGCATGGAAGCCAAAAGATTTTTTTTGCTTAGCAGCATTTGTTGGGTCAGTCTTGGGTGCCTCTTGAGTGGCTCCATTATGGCACCTAATGTATAGTCCCTCCAACTTACCAATCACCCAGTTCCTCCTTACCACCCATGACAGCAGCTGGAACTTCTTATTCTTGCTCTGGCAAACACCATTTGCCGTATCCTATTTGCCTGTTAATAGTTTAGTCAGTTCATTAGTTACAGATGTGGTATAGTTTAACAGTTAAGAGGTGTGACATTCCCCTTTCTTCTCTCCCTGTGCCAGGACTTCTCTTGGTTCCCAGTGTTTAAAGCTTGCCAAGCTTATGCCAAAGAGCAACCCCCACACTGAATGCTTAAAGTGTCTTGGTGAGGAGCACCAGAAAGAGACTCTCTGCATTTATAAAAATGTTCATCTTCGGACACTTAAACATTGTGAGCAGCAGTTCAGAATCTTATGTATGGAGGCAGCTCTTTGCCCCCATCTGACCTGGGGCCAGCAGACCCTAGTGCAGCTCTTCTTGGTATATAGTGCACTAATGCTGATGGTATGCGATTTGGTGCCTAACAGACAGTGGCATCAAGATGGTGCCGAACATAAAATGGGGCAGGCACAAATCTGTGTGACTGGCCCACAAGAGGCAGAGATGAGTGGAACAGGTCCCTAGTGCTGGACCTTAACCTAGTCCTTTCAAGACTGATGGGACTGCTATTTGAAACTTTTTGGCAACATGCTCCCTGCATACGCTCTCTTATAAGGTGGCTTTCCTAGTGGCCACAACGTTGGCTAGGAGGGTTTCCTAGCTCAGTACCCTGACATCAAACCCTCCCTTCACTGTGTTCTATAAGAACAAAGTGCAGCTAAGAGCTCACCTCACTTTCTTCCTTAAAGTGGTATCACAATTCCACATCAATCAGGACATACTTCCTTTGGTATTCTGTCCTAAGCCACATTTTGGCAGTCTGATATCTGCAGGATTTTAGCCTTTTTACATTGAGAGAACTAGGCTGTTTAGGAAGTTAGTGCAGTTTCTTGTGTTAATTGCAGATAGGATGAGGGGCCAGCCTGTATCCTCTGGGTATCTCCTTTTATATAGTCTCCTGTATTCATGAATGTTACAACCTTGCAGGAGTTCCCGTGCCTACAGTTACAGTGCCCTCTACCAGGGCACAGGCTTTATCCATAGTGTTCCTAGCATAGGTCCCAACTCAGGAAATCTGCAGAGTGGTGACATGGTCTATTCACACATTCGCTGCACGCTATGTAATTACCCAACAGGCCAGAGATGACATGGCCATTGGCAGGGCCGTGTTCCAATCAGTTTGAGATTCTGACCCCACCTCCTGAACTCAGGCTTTTAAATCACCTGATTTGAATGCACGTGAACAAGCACTCGAAGAAAAAAGGTTACTCGCCTTCTCGTAATTGTTTTTCACCTTCCTACTCCTCTATTGGAACTGATGGCAAGAAGGAGGAGCTGGAGGGTTGGTGAGCCACAGGATTACATATTAGGTGCCATAATGGAGCCAATTTAGGGGGCACCCAGACTGACCCAACTGATGCTGCTAGGGAAAAATAATCTTCTGGCTTCCTTGAACGCACACGCGCACACACCTGATTGAAATGGATGTGAACGAACACATCTCAAAGAACAACAATTCCAAGGTGAGTAAACTTTATTTTCTGTATCATCTGAAGTATGTATAATACAAACTTGTTTGCACAGTCTATTGGCATGTGCTTTATGTAGTGTTTTGAGATGGTAGACGAACAATTTTCATTATCTGCAAATTTGGCTGACCCCTAATTTAATAAAACCCCAAACCTTTTCATTCTGTGTGTGTCACCAGCAATAAACCATATGAATTGCTTCGTGCAGTATTTCACCAGATCACATTAGTTACTATTTCATGGGAAGCATCAGCAAAAGTGAAATATGAAGGTGTGACATTCCCTTTATTATACATCACTTAAAATCCTGTGAGAATTACAATGGTTACCTTTTTAAAAAAAAATACAATTCTGACACAAATGCTATCGCAGTATTACCCTGGAAGGATATTAAAGATATGATAAAATAATCTTGAGTGGATTTTCACAAGTGCCTAAGTGAATCAAGAGTTCAAATCCCACTGAAAATCATGGTGGCTTGTGCTCCAAAATCCTAAGTAGTTACAAAAATCCTACTCCTCCTTTCCTACTGGGAAAGAAAGGTAATTCTAGGGTAATTATTGTATTCCTAGACAGTTCACGTACACAAACAATTTTCACCCAATTTAAATAGCTATCTAATGTTATTTTCAACATTTTCTTTTGATTTAGGCGGATAGCCCGGAGGACATGCACAGCTGGATAAAAGCAATTTCTGGGGCCATAGTGGCACAGCGGGGACCTGGAAGATCAGCAGCTTCTGTATGTGTTTGAGATGTAGATAACATACTACCTCTAAGAGCTGTCAATCTCCTTTTCCCTCAGTCCTGTTGTAATATATCTCCTGTGTATGCGCTTTCATGCATATTAAATTTGCAGAAAATATTTTGCATTTCTAATTGAGAGGTCATTGAGTGTTATAGTTTTGTATGCTTTGCATTTTCTTAAGTGTAAAGACAATGCAAGTGCTGAGTATGAAGACTTCTCTGAGTCCAGTATGGACTCTTAGCACTAAGCTGCTATTAGCTGAAGAACTACAGTGAAACTTTGTTAATTCTTGTGAGTTTTTTTGCTAATTGCTAAATTTTGCAATCAAATTATATAAAAGGTTGGTTAAAATCATTTTGGGTACTAAATTTGCAGATCCCTGGGATCAGCTATTAACCATTTGTCATGTTAGCAACTATGGTCCCAAATATAATGCATTTCAGGCTGGAAGGGTTTGCAAATAATTTGTGTGAATTAGAAGTTTTGCTTTTGGACATTCAGTATGAGCACCATCTAGAATTATTGAACTGTGTGTACAACTGTGACTTATATCGTAACAGTTGTTAAGTAGGTGGATGGCAGCGTGTGTGTGTGTGTGTGTGTGTGTGTGTTTGTGTGTGTGTGTATTTTTTTTTTCATTAGAACCCTAGATTAGAAATGTTAAGAAATTTTTTTTTTACAAATTAGTGTATTTCATGCTAAAGATAGTTATAGTGTCAGTGTCAACAAATATGTCCAGATTTGTCATGGAATACTTCACAGTTCAGATGCTGCAAGGTATGGCTTTCACTTTTTTTGCTATGTGATGGTTTGTAATAACTGAGTATATCAACCCCCATAATACATTGGAAACCAAAGTTTTGAAATCTGGCTATTAAATGAAGTCATATTGATGGTGTGCTCATGTGATTGCTATCTATTGATCTAAACACTAGTATTTGTAGCTACTAATGTTATAGATGCATCATGTTTTAAGTAAATGTTACCATTACAAAATAGACTCAGTTTAAAATACGTTTTCTGGGGGAGAGGTAAAGAGGGAGATGGGTGTTTGGTTTGTATACGCTTTTGTGGTGGGGCTGACTAAGCAACTTAGCTATACCTATTGCCAACACTTTCTCTTTTTCTTCCTCCTATCCTCTTTCTGAAGTATAGGTTACTCTAATCTTAGCTTTGCACTGTGTTCCAGATGCGGCAGGCCAGAAGGCTGTCGAATCCTTGTATACAGAGGTATACATCAAGAACTGGTGAATGCAGCACGTATGTGGGCTCTCATGTAAACTTGCCTTCTTAACAGAGGGCTAGGATTTAAAATGCTAATTTACACTATGTAAAATTAACTCTTAATCCCACTGTGTTTTTAAGTTATTTTTAATACTAACTCACATAGTACTTCACACCACTCATTAGGTTTGCACTTACGTATTTCCTATTGATTTCTAAAATTAAGTTTGATTTTTTTTTTAAATTAGTAATGGCAAAAACAATGTCACTTTCATATTCATAGTACAAATCTTACTCATTTAAAATACAATTTAAAGTATTCAAATTTTGATAAATTTGCATGAGAGTTCATATTTCCATTTTTTACCTTACAACTTTGACACCTTATAATAGCAAAAATACAAATAAATATTAGCTGCAACTAATACAGATGTGTGCGTGCACACAAGCATTTTATAACTGAAAAAATTGGAAGGATAATCTCGCAGCCTGATTTGCATGGCTTTTTAAAACTCATGCATGAAATGATTTAGCCAAAATGTAGAAGGGTTTGCTAGAAGTAACTTGTACATTATTTTAAAAAAATGATTTAAAAAGTGAAGCAGCATAGTGTATTAAAATAGGAGCTTAAAATAGGAACTTATAATCAGATAAGGTAATAAAATCTAGACAAAAAGTAGTTTGTTAGAAAACTTAACATCATAATCCACTGCTTAAATCACAGAAGTTTACTTTAGATTCAGCTTTCAGCTTGGTTAACATAGTACTTAGCATGACTGCTTTTTTAATAACCATTGTATGCTGTTAGAAATAAGTGGTGTGGCAAGTGGGCTATTGACCATAAAAACATATAAAATAGTGTCCATGGATTGCTCCTAAAAACGTGAAAGGCTAAAAAGTTAAATTCTTAAACACCTATTCTTTTATTATAATATGCACAACTGCATAATAGTTCTGAAAATATAAATTTCTATTTTAATATAATGGCAACATTGCTGATTTGGCAGAAACAACATTGCAAACTTAATTACACCTATAAATCTGTCCAATAGCACGTTTTTCTGGAATCCTTGAAATTGACAATTGATATGAAAATGTTTTTAGATAACGCACATAAAGTATCTCTCTCTTTCTTTGACAGACCTGTTATGGTGATTTATCATAGTTAAATATGTTACAAAGTCAAAACTGACAATGATGTACTAGCCCAGGGTGGGCAAATACCAGCCCATATGCCAGATCTGGTTCACCAGGGTTAGCCCCAATGGGCTAACACCACTATATTTACTTGTGCCTCCACAGGCCTGGGCAGTTGTAGCTCACGTTGGCTGTGGTTCACTGTTCCCAGCCAATGGGAGCTGCAGGAAGCGGTGTCCCAGTTTGTGCCATTTCCCGCAGATACTATTGGCCAGGAGCAGTGACCCGTGGTCAATGGAAGCTGCAAAAGCCCATACCTGCAGAGGCGCAGGTAAGTATAGTGGCGGTGGCCCACTAGGGGCAAACCCTGGCAATATGCCACCCTTTTATTGCCCACCCCTGTATCAGCCTGTCTGAATAATAATGTAACAGTTAAGGATAGTTTGTTCCCTTTCTGGCAAAAAAGATATTTAAATAGTGGTAGATTTATTTTATGAATGTGACTTCCAAAATCCTTTCAACAGAATGGCAGGTATCCGTAATAAACACTTACTTGAAAGCAACTTCTGTACAATTAGTAGCTTGAGGGTTTTTTTGAAAATAATTATTTCAGTATTGCTGTTGTGGGTTATAAAATAGACCTCTAAATTCAAAGGCAGTATTTTAAGAATATTTTCTAAGATTTCAATAATTAAGATTCCAGAAAAGGATTCTTTAACTTTTTATAGACATTGATTCATCATGGCTCGGTAGAGTAAAATAGAACAAAAACAGGAAATAGATCAACAATTGTAATTTGACTGCCCTCTTAGGGTGATTTGATACTTGATTCAGCAGAGTATCCAAAGGGGGGAGGGAGCAGTGAGAGTTCCACAGTGCTTTAACTTGAGATGTAAAGATATATTTGTATAACAAATATCGCTTGAATACACTTTTCTCCTGCAATTAGTTTTTCCATCTATGGCATTGCAGATGTGAGCTTTAACATGTATTGAAAACAAAAAGTTTAATTGCCATTAAGCATACTAGTAAAAAAATCAGTTTGGGTTTACTAGATTCTTGTATAAAAATGTAAAGAGCTGCCAAGCTTGACTTCAGAACCCTAACATAGTTTCTTCAGCTGAAATGACTATTTGCTATCCCATTCAGCTATGAGCTCACATTTACAAATTCATTGCCTTGGGAAAGCACCCGCTTTCTGCTGCCATGGCTGATGCTTTGCTTTGTTTTTTCCATTTTCTTGTTTTGCAGAGTAAAATCTCAAACTGAGTTATTAACATGACATTTGCAACTGACTCTGACAAATATATATCCTTTTACAGGAGCATTCCAGCTCTCCTTCAGACTCCAGCTATGCTGTCTGTTTTGCCAACACAACAGCCACCTCACATTCCACAGCCTCTCACAACAACGCTCTGGTCTCAAACCTTAATGCCAAACGCCCTGCCTTGGAGAAGCGAGGATTTTGCGAATCTTTTACCAAGGCCAAACCAGGGAACTTCAAGGTCCAGGCTGTCCCTCCAAGAGAATCAGCTTCCAAAGTGACTGTAGAGGATCTATTGGAACCTCAGAGTAAAAATGGCACTCAGGAACAGGATCTTGTCCCAGTGGATCTGGATGATGCAAGCCTTCCAGTCAGTGATGTGTAATCATGGAAGAGTTTGGAGAATGATCCATTTGGTCCTCTAATTTCCTTGGTCAGACTTGTAGCCAAAGAAGAGTTTAGGAAGAAAGAACAAAGAGAACGGAACACTGATTTTGTGTATGTGTGTATATACAGAAGTATGTGTATACACAGGTACCTGCATATATAATTATATATTTACATAATTATATATTGCCTTAAATTCGGGTCAGAAATGGGCCTTCTGCTTTTTCTCACAGCCTGATGATAAATCACTTTCTAATAAGGGGCCAAACTACATGATTCACAAATGTACAGCTGCCAATAAGTGAAGGTACCAGCAGCTCTGATTTCTCAATTTGGCAAACCTAAAATTACATGGTATAATATAGAAAATGTAATGTACAAATGTGATGATTTGATTGAATTATAAAACAGATTAAGACTTTATGCGTATGGGAGAATTATTTCTCTCCTTTGAAAATGTTACAACTTTTTCAGATAGCAGGATATGCATAAAAAGTTCTCTTCTGTTCCTATTGGATCACCTGTATCAACTGAAAATTACCAGACTACGAATTCTAAGCTACCTTAGACTTCTGAGTATATGGTGCTTTAAAATTCGCATTAGTACAATAATGCTGTTTTTGAACATTAAACCTATTTTTGATGCTCTCCTAAAGTTGAATTGTAATTTTTTGCACATTTGGATTTTAATGGACCCTCCTATAATAGTGTTTTGGATGGGGGAAGGGATATTGGACTACTACATCTTACACCTTTGAAGTAAACCATTTTATATTGCATTACGTTGAGCTTTGCTGCAATTACTTTTTATCAAATGTCTAAACATATTGTTTATGATGATTTTTGAGAGATTTGTTTTCTTATCAGTGCTTTTGTGAACAGTTCTTGTTTCTATATTTGGATCAGTGAAAGACTTCATTTATCTAGTTTGATGTCAAAACTGGTACTGAACTGTTTATAGTCATGCAATTGTGGCCTGTAATTTTGGTGCACTAATCTATTTAAAGTGCCTGTGTTTTTTCTCATCTTGTTAAACATTTTGAGATTCAATGTGTACACGGACCTTATTTACATGGTTTTGAAACTTGGGGTGAAATTATTTGAATAACTTAGTTCAAAATAATTATTTAAAACAGATAATCTTATGCTAGGGATACCAGTATTCTGGTATTGCATCTACTAGCTGTGCAATATGTGTGTTTTTTATAAAACTGAATATTTGTTACATGTGTGAATTGTTATGGGCTTCAGTGATGCAAACAAAAGATCTAAGAACTTTTACACTTCAAATATTTGATTAGCTTGAGCATGTACTGGTTTCATGGGTTTTGCCAATGTTTGCTATAACCAAATTTCCCCCTCTCCCCACACACTTCATATGCTGCTGTTTATTGTGATTTGTGTTTCCCATTGCTGTTAGTCTTCTGGAACTTAATAGTTATGTATCAGAAAGGTCCATCTTTTCTCCAGCTTCCAAACTGACTTCTGACCAGAGAGGGAGATTTTTTTCCACAGTAACTTGTTGAGCCAAGAATAGAGTAATTGGTGTAATGTGAGATTATCATCTAGTTTCAAAGCCATTAGCATCTTCAACTTTTTAATCCATAAGCTAAACACTTTTTTAAGGCAATAGTATTTGTAAATTACACTTTTTCATTTTACTCTTCAACATCACATGAAATCTAGTGCAGAGTTGGGCGTTATGATAGCTGTCTAAACAAGTAGTGTAGTTTGTATCAAAATAAAACAATGATTTCTTGAAAGCTTACTTTTCATAAGTACATACTGTACGGGAGACACCCTATTTTTACTATAGTTCTCACATCTAAAATCACTTGCTGTGGTACAGCTTTGGCACTGCATGTTCATTTTACTATATTTTGGTATTGGCAGTTTTACATATTGGGTGGAGGTAAAGCAGCTCCATTATGGGACTTTTAAAAATAGAACTACTGTTGTAGTTCAGTAGCATAGGAAAATATATTTGTGGCTGGTAATTGTCAGGGTCTCCTATTTATCAGTACTTTTATAAATCTATGAAAATTGTTAAATTATTTTAGAACCAGTGCTGTTTCCTGTAAAGTCACATTTAAATTGTCAATAAATCAGTTTAGATAACTTTAAAGAGCTATTGACATTTTTATTGTACCATTTACCAGAACAGGCTAAGTGAATGATTTCTTCTCCATTGATACATTCCATCTTCTATTTCATTCTTCTATGTTTAATAGCTTGAGCATTGTACTACCTTCACCTTAGGGTTGCCAACCCTCCAGGATTGGCTTGGAGCGTCCAGGAATTAAAGATTAATCTTTAATTAAAGATTTTCATGTGATCAAATCTCCATAAATACATCTAACCAAAACTTGCACCCCTACTTCTCATAATGAGCTATACTTGCTCCAGATCTTTAGAATCCGTCTTAATGAATTACTGGACCACTGACTTTAAGGTACAGTTAAACCACTCAGCCTATCAGTTTGTGGGTGACTAGACTGAGGCCTGGTCTACACTGCAAAGTTAGGTTGATATAAATTGCCTTTAATAGACCTAGTTGTGTATGTTTCTATGCTTCAGTTTTCCCCTCTGATGTAAGTGCTGTTATGCAGTAGCATCACCTTCCTGCTAGGGATGTTAACAAACATGTATTTGTTTAAACATGTAACTGCTACAAAATCCAGCACGAGATCTTTTATAGGGGAAAAGGCAGTACGCCGCATTTACTGAGAATACAACAGTTGCATATGCTTTCCAATCTCTCTCTCTTTCTCTTTCTCTCACACTCTCTCACTCATACTCTCTCACACACACGGGGGGGGGGGGGGGGGGGAAGACGGGTTTCTGAAGAGGTATGCAAATAGAACTCATATTTGCTTGTCAGCAAAGCGCCCTGCTTTTATAATCCTTTTCTCTGTTGAAATCAATGGATTCCGCTCTGTCATCCTGTGACCGGAATGTTATCTTGTTGATGTCAGTCATTCCCAAACATCTCTTGAAGGCTCATCCTGTCCTGGATTTAATCAGTTGTTTTCAGGTGTGCCTGCCCTTCACCATTAGAACCGTCAATTCTGCCAGCCTGATCAATTCTTGACCGTGGGTACGCACTGCTGGTTTTTCTAATGCCAATATGTTTCTTCGCAGTTTGTCTTCACCCCACATCCCCCCCCTTCTCTTAACCATCTGGCTCTAATGATGATCTTCACACCGTATCTCATTCATACAAACAGTCTCTCTCACAGAATCCTTTAAAGATAAACAGCAGTGTTTTATTTTAAACAAAATCAAAACAATTCACATCAAAGGCCCAGGTCTTCAGTATTTCTAATCTCATTGACATAGACACAATAGGAGATCCTGTCTCTTTTACTTACTACACTTTAGAACAAGGAAATATAGGAGATATATACTTAACTAAAGAATTTGACTTACTACAATATTAAATATGGTTATATATTACCGTACATTACTAAACCTAAAATACAAATACAAAAAAGAATAAAACTATCAATCCTAACACTAACGTAACTTGCATTGACAAGATATTGCCAAAACTACCAACTGGTTTCAAAAGCTGCCAAACTTCTCTTAGGAGGGACATAAAAATAGTTCTGTGGTATGCTAGACTTTTGGTAGGAAAATCTACCCAAGATGTCTCTAAAGGTTATCATGCAAGATATAAATAGAAAACTAAGGACATACGAATTGGTATTATTATATGGTGTATGTATGGAGGTCAAATAAAAAATT